TGAAATCAGCTCCTTTTCTCAGCAAGGACAGGCCCAGGCAGGTGGCAGACCAGCTCTGCTGAGGACAGACACTACAAGCCGGAGAAACTTGCACTGAGCGGACTAGCCCGCTTAGGCTCCAGGCAGGCCCTCGGGCTGCAGAGCTGCGCTCCGGCCAGCTCACTGCGCACTGCATTGCAGCGCTGATGTTGGGGGGGCTCGTGAGCCTCAGTGACACTCCAGATGAAGATGATGTCGGGGGCCTTGACCTCGGGTCAGCTATGGGAATTGTACTTTCCCGAACTGCACAGGACAAGAACAGCTTGCTGAATGCCAAATCCTGATTAGTCAGGTTAGGGGAGAAAGCTGTGCTGTTCCCTCAGAAGCGTGGCCCGTCCACTTGTGGAAATGAAGCCCAGCAGCACTGGACAGTGCCCCCGCGGAGCGGAGTTCTCCGAGGGCATGGAGAAGTGTGCCCTGGCCCGAGCTGCTGGTGGCAGTGCTGGCTTCTGTAAAGCCCTGTCCCAGGGCTCTCCACACAAGCTCTCCCTGCTGACCTTGACTGGTCACGGGCCCGGGCACCCAGCGTCCGGCAGGTTTCTCTTCTGTCCGGCTGCTCTTTCCGTCTTGCACGGTGCACTCTTTAGAAGGAAGTTACCGAAGTTGGCCCAGACTTAAGGGATGAGAGGCCTGGGCCGCCTGCTCAGGGGAAATGCCAGTGAAACCCCGGAATTCCGGGCGCATGTGTCCTCCCTCCTCCATTTGTTTGTTTAAGTCAGTACGGGCTTGTGCATGTTCATTTTCTACTAACTCAGTGCTCTCTTATCTACTGTGTTGCTGACGCTGTTCCAGCCTGGGCCCTGGGAGCCCTTTCCCTGTCCTCTCACAGATTCTGTAGTTTTGTCTCACATGCTTCCGTAATTACTTTCTGGCACTATAGACTCTCCAGGCTGTGGATTATCTTGAACATTCTGAACCCTGGTGGTAGGCTGAATCTTTTTTTTGCAAGGAGCCCTGGTTCCTCTGACAGGAAAGTAAGTAGAAAATCCAAGGTCTGGGCATGGGGTAGACTGTTCTTTTTGAGGCCCTTGTGAGATGACTTCAACAAACTGCAGCAGAAAATCCAGCCCCGCAGCTGCTCCAAGGAACAAGCCCTGTTCATTGCCCGTGGTTTATAGGTTTGCATTCCGGTTTGGAAGTCAGTGTCACTGTGCTCTGCAAATATTTGAAGAACACAGCACATCAGGGTCAGCGGGGAGGCCGTGTTCTGAGGCAAGACCACTCTAGGCAAACTCAGTAAAAACACTTTTCCTGAAACGTTCTTAGTTGGGTTAGCTTCTGCAGCGGACTGGTGAACTCGGGTCTCATTATTGTGCCAGGCCTCAGTGCTTTCTGAGAAAGCTGCGCTGAAGATGGGCGGCGCAGCCACTGGCAGAGCCTCAACAGCCTGCAGGTGCGTGTGGGAGTTTCTAGATGGTGCACGCTGTACTGCCTCAGTGAAGGATGTTCTAGAAAATGACACAGCACTTTCAAGCATGGCACAGACTTCCGGGAGAGGGAGGTATAGCATTGTTCCCCTGTATGCCCAGTGCTCTGCAAGCCCAGGCCCCCATGGCCTTCAGCTTCCACACCCTTTGAAGACCCCAAATAGACCCAAGTGTGGTGGCTGAAAACTCTGCGGAGGCCCCTCTGTGGCGTGAGACGTGACTAGGGATCTTCAGGGATGTCCACCCCAGGAAACACCAGATGCAAGAGTGATTCAGTAGCTGTGGCACGCCCCGGAACTTCAGAGATGGGCTGCTGAGCTGCTGTCCGAGCCCCGAGAGAGCTGTCAGCCCTTAACATCTGGGTCCTACTGTAGTCACCTGCGGCCGTGAGCTGACAGGGAAGCAAGTGTCTTCAGTGAAGCGGGCACATGCACTGCCATTGTGTCCTAACTAGACTCCTCCAAAGGACCCAGCTACCATGTCCTGCAAGGCAGTAAGAAGCATCCAGGTGAATGTTACCCGTCGTGTGCAGAAGCCAGAGGGAGGGATTAGCTGGCTCGCTCCAAGTAGACGTGCCAGGGCACCCCCCTTCTGTCCGACATGCAGTCACACCCTCCTTTCTTCCTAGTTTGTTATAAGTTCAGAGCCACTTTACAATGATTTTGCAAAGCCCAAAAAGACTGTGACATGTGTTTGAGGCATATCTCACCTTCAGGTTACCGCTGCAGAACAAAGCATGCTAACAATTCCCCTGAAGCCGAAGTTCTGAGCGGAACATGGGCTGTCTCCCATTCTGCCCATCCGGGAGACGGGGAGTGGCCACCCTCTGGGTGCCTAAGGCTCAGGCTCCTTCCAGACACAGGAAGTATTTGGGGCCGAATGTAAAGCAGAGGAGGGAGGGGTGCATCGGTTTGTTGGGTGGGGTATATAGGTGGGGAATAAATCGTATTCCAGCACCCGCTGGCTGCTGTTTTGGAGTTACAGGAAATTGCACCATGCCCAGGCTGCGGCCGAGTGAGATCTCCCTGCTCCAAGGCGGGCAGGTTTGCAGTGGGAAACCGCAACGACCCACTCGGCCATGGCACTCGAGTAATAAAGTCCCTGGCTCCAAGTTGCTCGGTCTCAAGGCGTGTTTTTCCTTTCCTGTCAAAATGGGGTGTGAGAGCTGGCAGCCTGCGTAGGATTAAGCAATAGCACATCTGCCATTTTTCAAAACCCAGTGGGCTACACTTCCCAGATGCTGCAAATGCAAAGGGAAAACTTGCATTTATAAGGTGAAACATTTATAATAGCTCCTCCAAGGTATTTTTAAGAACGGTTCAATATGACATAGTAAACAGTACCAGCCCGGTTCCGTGAAACTTAATTTAGCCCAAACATAAAGGATATTATCACTAAAATCTCAGTCTCTGCTTCACACTACTATAATTCACTTTATAATGTATTCAGTTTTATTTTAGAGAAATCCTCACATTTTAGGAAAAGAAGATAAATATGTGGGGAGGCTGGCAGATTTATAACATCTTCCAAAGTTAAATCACTCCATTTTTTCAAACCTGAAGCAGCCTTGGAAGCTGATTCTGTAAGGAATGACAGTAGCTGTGCCCCTTCTGGCCCTGGTGTGGGCCCTTTCAGCTCCCAGGGGTGTCCCACAACTGTTCTGGTAGCCTGTTGCTATGCTTAGCTCAGGTGACATGGTCAGTCCTCTCGGTAGATGCGACGTCTGGGTCCCTTTATCAGACAGCTCTAGTTTTTCCTGGCCTGAGTGTAGGACTTGCCGTGTGTCTTTCTTTGACCTTTCTGTGTACTTAACAGTGATTCCTGCTTTCCTTGCTTGCATAAATTCCTGCCCGGCACAGACGAATACTGGCTAGCCTATCTGTTCTGCTATCATGCGGAAGCATCCCTGGCACCTTGCAGCGTGCTCCGGCGTGGACCCCTGACCTGTCACTGTCACAGCCCACTGGGATCCTCCTTGGCCTGATCACACTTGCCCTTTGCTTTTGTCTCATGTTCAGTCCTGTGCTTTTTTTTCACCTGTGGCCTGTTCGGCTGCGCACATCCCAGTAGCTTTCCCAACAGGATGCATGGAAGGTAAATTTGGGGGTCTTGAGTAGCGAAGGTATCTTTCTTTTAAACACCCCGGATGGTCTGGCATAGAGATCTCAGAGAAGTTGTCTTCCCGCCAAGCTGCGCTCCGTCTCCTGGCTGTTGGCGCTCTTGAGCAGCCTACAGCCGCGAGCCGCTTGGGGCTGGCAGAGCGGGTGCCTTGTCCCAAGCCCTGTGCCCCGTCCTCGTGGAACTGCTGTTGTTCCTAACCTGCCTGCTGCCTGCTCCGCGCCTCACGCCTTCCCCTGTGCTTTGTCTTTGTGGCCTTCCCTCTCTTCAGCTCCATCACGTAGCAGACCTTCCACTTCGCTTCCTCTTGATCCCCAGCCCTCCTTGTTCTATGACTCTCGTCCTTTCCATTTCCATTCGGGGATGTGGCTTCTCCCCCATTCCGCTCCAGAGTGTGAGAGAAGAGTCCGTTTTCACGTTATCTTTGTTTTCTCTGATTCCTTTCTTCCCCTTTGCCTGCACCGCTTCCTATTAGCGGCCTTCAGTCCAGGAGCCCTTGGGTGTGCACGCGTATCTGTCAGGGCGCTCTCGCTGCCTCTTGGGACTCACCATCTGGGCTGGCCTCACGGATGCCCGCAGTTGCATCCTGAGGGCCTCAAGGCTTCAGGAACGTTAAGTCTTCTCTCGTGGTCTGGTCAGATTCCTCTAAAACTGCTCACTGAGAGTCCCCTGCTTGGAGGACTCAGCTGGTGTTCTGTGCTCTGGGTGCTGAGGAGGAAAAGAAAGGGAAAGAGAGAGACGGGGAGGAGGAGGTGGCAGCAGCCAGTGTCACCCATCCTTAGCCCTTGTTTTCTAGGTAATAACCCTGCCCCTCAAACCATCTTGGCACGCCAGCCCCCCACCCCGTTTTGTTACCCAGGGACAAAGCTGCCATCTCCTGTTGAGTCGGGGGCGACATAGTCCCAACCCTGCCACCTGCTGGGCCCCACCTCCCCAGACTTCCTATCTGTAGAGAAGGAAGGAGGGGGAAAGGGCAGAGAGCCCCCCGCCCCCCGTTCAGGATTTTGAGTCTTTCCAGCCCATTTTCCACTTCCTTCTGCTCTTCAGCGTTCCAGCATTATGCTTTCATCTCTTCCACTGACTCCCTAAGTCCGCACGTATGTCCTTTCCTGTGTGCTGTGTTCCATCCAAGTGCTAGAGCCCTTCTGTTCACTACTGTTCTGTGAGGCTCTAAAGATTACATGAACAGCGTGTTCACCCAGAACGAACCAAGCCGTGCTGCCCGCTGGCAAGGCATCAGCAGGTGCACATTGGTCTCCCGCACTCAGATGTGGCCCACAGCAGATGTGCCACATCCGCTCCACCACAGGGCCCTCGGGGGCAGGGGCAGCGCATGGACCGATGCCCACCTGAGCAGGCAAGTGTGCTACCTTCTGGGACTCCAGGCCTCACAACTCTGCTCGATGTTGCCCCCAGCTCTGTTTTGTGATGTTCTGGACCCCCAACGTCTCCGAGAAGATTCTGATAGACATCATCGGAGTGGACTTCGCCTTCGCCGAGCTCTGCGTCGTTCCTCTGCGGATCTTCTCCTTCTTCCCAGTTCCAGGTGAGGGACAGAAACATTCCCACCCCCTTCGTGCCCAAGGATGCCCAAGTAAGTCTTTCTTCAAAAATGCCAAATCCACCAAACAAGCCACCCCAACAGAAATGAAACATTTCACAGTGGATGAGAAGGGTGCAAAAACATTAGCTACGAGGTTAAAAGTTCAAGACATAAGTCAGAGGTGGACTGTTTTAAATAGTTAAGAGAGAGGAGACCCAAGAGCAGCATGAGCAACTTTGCAGGGAACAGTAATTCCATCATTTGTCTTAACATAAGTACTCAAAATTTATACATGAGCTTCAGTTATTATGCATGCCAGCTTTATAGTGTGAGGGGTTAAAAAAGAAAAAGGAGGGGAGCCGGGGAGATGCTCAGTGGAATAAGCGCTTCCCTGGCAAGCGCAAGGGCCTGAGTTCAATCCCCGGTTCCGCAAAAAAAAAAAAGAAAGAAAGAAAAAGGAAGGCCAGTGAGATAGCTCAGCAGACTAAAGCACCTGCTTAGGTGAGCCCAACTCAGGGCCACAGTTCGATTCCTGGCAGGCTGAGCCAGTGACGCAAGGCACGCTGACAGGAACGAGGCTGCTCCAGATGAGGTCAGAAAAACATGCAGTGGAGTCTTCAACGTTGCTGTAACAAATGTCTAGCAGATACATGGTATCGCTCAGTCCAAATAATTTAGTTCCCAAGTGTTTGGCATTTTTTGTTTCCAGACTCTCTCAGGTGACAAACACAGCCACAGCCATCTTTCCCACACATACAAATGTGCTCTTTTCCAAAATTATGGAATAAATAATGCTCACGAATGGAGGCGCCACTGTGCGCATGTAGCCCATGCTTCGTCACCTATGTCAAGCTGCCAGAAGCGACTCGACCTGCGGTACCAGAAGGTGCCGTGGGAGGCAGGGCAGGGTGTGACAAGGGCCTGATAAAGGCACCTTCCTGCTGCATGTCCTTGTGCACCCGTTAAATTCTGCTCCAAGGGCCAAAACTAAATCGCCAGTTCTGAGGGTGTGAGCTCACACGTTTAGTGTGCTTGATCCCTAGCACCAGAGAAAGAAAAATTGCCAAAACTCCACCTAATTCAGCGGTGGCAAGCCTGTGGCACATGTGCCACAGGGGCCAGCTGTGCCGCTGAGAGCTCTGAAAGGTTCACCATGACTGACCCGAGTCATTAACTTAGAGGCTAGATTCTACAAGGCCTGTTTGGTTAAGATAGGAGCTCCTGAAGTCATTAGGCCAGGGCCGATGGCATGCCTGCCAACCAGTGCTGTCCCCAAGTGAGACAGCAGCCCTCACTTTGAGGAACTGAGCCTTCTGGGGAGCCAGGACTAGTGGGTGTTACCTGCTGGCTGGGATAGGAGCAACGGATGGCATCTGGCCTTTGTCAGGTAGGTGCCAGATGAGCCAGGCTTTAGGAAGTGGATACTACCTAAGGAGCCCACGCTAGAATAAGACACATGTGGTTCATTTCCCGTGGCCGTGGCCCAGTGAACGGATCATGAACAGGCCCGCTGGGTCAGACTCTCTCCAGGTGTGTGAGTCACCAAGCTCTCCTGGCTCCACCTGTGCCCATGAGGTGAGGCCCTTCCAAGCAGCTGTCAGGCCCCATCTGCTCTTGGCAGGCTCTTGGGTTTGGCCACCAGATTAGATGTGCCCGTGACCGCTAGCATCCTCCTGGCCAAATCTAAGTGAAGGCTTCTGCCCCTGAGAGAAGATGAGCCTCCTCAATACAACACTTCTACCCCTAGGGGAATGGGGACACACAAGAGCACAAGGACAGCAGGGCTGGCTTGTAGCTCAGTACAGGGACAGGGTGCTTGGCCAGCATGCATGAGGCTTTGGTCCAATCCAACACAGTGAAGACAAGACAGTAGGTGCTGCCTGCCAGCCCCTAGGAAGTTGCTTGAGCCCCACACTGTGGCCAGGCAGGGAGGACATGCCCAAGCCTGGAGCGGCCAGGCAACTGAGGACAGGATGGATGTGCTGGCAAGTGGGGGCCACTGCAGTGCCTTCTTTCCCCCAGCCCTCATCCCTTGGCCTCACTTGGCTGGCAGGAGGGAGACAGCTTCTGGCCTTTCTCCATATTTCCTCATGGAGGCAGTTGGCCAGTTTGGTGGTGCTACTGGCAGGTGGGGCAGGCCCATCCCAGCAGCAGCAGCAGCCCAGCCAGACTCTGAGGCGGCGGCTCCCTGGCAGCAGGGCCAGCTTCCAGCTGTGGGCAGGTGGTGGAGTCACGGGTAGCGGCCGCACACGGCTGACGGGCCCTCTGCTCTCTCCTAGTCACCGTCAGGGCCCATCTCACTGGGTGGCTGATGACCCTGAAGAAAACCTTTGTCCTGGCACCCAGCTCCGTGCTGCGGATCATCGTGCTCATCACCAGCCTCGTGGTCCTGCCCTACCTGGGGTATGTTGTCAGGGCATGGGGCTGGGGGTCCTTTTTTCACCAAGTTCCCTGTCCAGAGAGTTAAGCTCTGCAGCTTCAGCGTAAGAGCTAGGTATTCGGAAGGAAGCACGCCTGCGTGCTGCCACCTACCCAGGAGACCCCCACTGGGCCCGGCAGGCACTTTCAGGGCTGGAAGCCCAGGCGGGAAGGTGCCAGACTGGAAGGCAGGAGTCATCCCTGCCCTGTGGAGCACCCAGGCTCTCTGGAGGGGACAAGGCTGTGAGGAGACGGCCCAGCCCGGGTTCTAGGGTGTGTTAGAGGGTGTTAGGATCAGCCCCTCCTAAACCCTTCTCCAGGCTGCACTGTGCTTGGCCTGAACGAGGGGCTTTGATGTCAGCTTCTGTGCCAACTGTGTGCTCGTACAGAGCTTAACCCCGGCACCTCCTCATCCCCAGGGTTCATGGAGCCACACTAGGAGTGGGCTCCCTGCTGGCGGGCTTCGTGGGAGAGTCCACCATGGTCGCCATCGCAGCATGCTATGTCTACCGGAAGCAGGTGAGAGACGGTGACAGCTGCCGAGGCCCCACCCAGACGTCAGCAGAACCAAGCCCGTGTCGTGGTGTGGTGGCACTACACCTTCATCCCATCCTCCCAGGATCGGCCCTGTCCACTGAGACAGCAGGGCCAGCTCTGTGTGAGAAGCCCTCAGGGCCAGCGTCACCTCAGCCTTAGGAGGATTTAGTGACAAGATGAGGATGCCACTCTGGTCATTATATAGAGTCCACAAAAAAAAATGTATATACACTTCAGGAAAAGAAACACTTGTAAATATGTTAATACTAAATTTGAGATGATGAGATTCACACAAGTTATCTTTGGCCTCTACAGTTACCAAAGGCCACGGGCTCCCAGCCATTAAGTAGTACGAGCTGCAGAAGCGGGTACGATTTCTGGTAGACTACATAATCAGTCCTTGTGCTGCACCTGTTGTGTGTCTCAGACGAGACAACTAGAAGGACAGATGTCTACTGCCCTACATCCTAGTGTTACCTGGAGAGTTAGAAAGGGCAGAAGCTAAATAATAGTATCAGCCGTATTAGAGAAGCCTGAAAGGGTGGTCGTGCTCACAGTGAGCCCCCGAGAGCTGACAGTGCAGGGGGACACATTCTAGGTTCAGAGCTCAGAGCTTCAGGGAGGAGGAAAGCAGCTCACGGGTGACCATCGGGCCGGAGCGGTGACAGTCTGCAATCGGAAGGGCTGCTGGGGACCGTGTCCGAGAGTTCCAGAGCACACAGGCAGGCTGGAGGGAGACATGTCCCCAGGCGCCTAGGCCCGTGCAAGGCACATAGATAAGCAAAGCGACAGGAACGTGCTGGACCAAGACACAGGCTCCTGAAGTCCCCCGCCATGAATGAGATCAGGTCTGCAGCCCACCCTCTGCTGCTGCCCTGGCGGCTTCTTCCTGGCTCAGCGGTGCTGATGCAGCCCTGCCCACAGCCCCGCACTGATGCGTCTTCTTTGATTTAGAAAAAGAAGATGGAGAATGAGTCGGCCGTGGAGGGAGAAGACTCCGCCATGACGGACATGCCTCCCACTGAGGAGGTGACAGACGTCGTGGAAATGAGAGGGGAGCGTGAATGACTGCGGGACCCCGAGGGGCGACACTCGGCACCATCTCCTCCCTCCTCCGTTGTGCCCCCTGCCCTGCCCGCCCTCTCCCTCTCCCAGTGGAAGAGGCCTTGACGTAAAGGTTTCCTGTAGACCCTCTAGCATCCGGGTATGCTCACACTGCTGTGGGGACCTGAGCAAGGGGCTGTAACTGTTGCTTTGTAAACACAGAACCATTGACTTTGTGCCCCTGCTTCCTAAAACCCAAGACATAGCTGCCTCATAGTCAAAGTCTACTCACCCCAACAGTCTCCAGTGAACCAAAGGACTACGGCTGCGCACCACCCGGTGGCCACCCTGCCCAGCGGGCACAGACTCTGTCCCTTTTGGGCCAGCAGGCGAAAGCACGACCGCCTTGGATTTGCTTCCAGGCACCATGGATGCACAGATGTTCCCGGCAGCCACTCCGTTTCCCCTCCACCATGCACTTGGTAGTGGGCACACTGCAGCTGGAATGGCTGTTCACCCCGAGCAACAGACGTGGGACAGTGCCGGCGGCTGTATGGGAATCATCCCTGTAGGAAGCTTCGCGAGGCCACTGGGGTAGCAGATGGGCGCAGCCAGCAACAGCAGCGCCTCACTCCGGGTTTCCAGTGCGCGTGAGCTGCCCCACCCCACCGTGTATATACGTGAGCTAATTCTTCCAGGTTGTCACCCAGCGCATCTCCAAGGCCCGCATGACTTTCCCCGAAGGCTTGCTTTTCACTCACCTTTCCTGAAGGTGGCGCTAGAGCGGGTTAAACGGCACGTTCTTACTTTCCACTTAGTTTTACCATGAACTGAAGCTTTAAAAAGTCATAATCTAGCATTCTAATGCCAGATTGCTCTCTCCTAACCTTTGAAGCAGATTTATTACCTGGCCCTGCCAAGCCTAGTCCCAAGTGTGCGGTACAGGTAATTCACAGTGTACTACGGTACTTCTCTCTCACACCATAAAGCAAGACATTTTATAAACAATTATCAAAGTCACTATGTGATACTCCCTGAAATAATGCATTGGAAGTCCATTTAGTGCAGTATATTTTTCTAAGTTTTTGAAAGCGGGTTTTTTCCTTTAAAAAATTATGGACACAGGTCACTAAATTCTTGATTTAGTCAAAATACCTAGACTGAAAGAACCTTAAAAAAAAAAAAAGTATTTTAAAGATATAAATATATGCTGTATATGTTATGTAATTTATTTTAGGCTATAATACATTTCCTATTTTCGCATTTTCAATAAAATGTCTCTAATACAATATGGTGATTCCCTGCGTGCTAGCCTACCCACAGCAGAGCTGTATCAGTGGCCCTTATTCCTTACTTAGGGCAGTTTTTTTTAAGTTCCCTCACTTGTATATGAAAGTAAGGGTTGGTAAATGACAAGAAACTACTCCATGATGGGTACCTCAAAATAAATGGGTTCACTGGTACAGACAACACTGTGGTAAGTCAGGCAAAGGACAAAGGCCTGGCGTGTCATCCTCAGTGCTGTGTAACCATACTGTTCCTCAGAGAAACAAGACTAAGGGCACACAGTTGGCTGTGGACATCACAAGGCTTCATTCACGTCTCTGGATGCCCCATGCCCCTCGGATGTGCCTACCGTGGGGACACGTCCCTACATGCTTTCTCCAAGTGGCCTCTCCATTGATATATGAGTGTGAACATTAAGATGCATAGCTGCTTCGGGGTGGGTCAGGGGCAGAGCTGAAAAATGAAAAAAAAAAATGTATTGGCTTTTTTAAAGTACATGACTAGAAAATTAAACAGCAGTATTTTTTAACATGTGTGGCCTTCATGCTTCTGGGGTCAGAACTTAAAGATCAAATTGAAAAAGCAGATCCTTCCCATCAGCACAGGAAAGATCAGCCAGCAACTCCTCACTATGCAATGGAAGGCAGAACTCCAGAGACACTGCCAGTGGTAGACAGGAGTGAGCCATCGTGTTGTGCGGGTTTCCCAGAGCCAGCAAGCAGGGCCAGCCTCAGGTCCTAGGCCCAGGTCGCAGCTGCAGCTGTCCTTTCCCTGGGGTGCCAGCGAGCCCAACAAGCAGCCGAACTAAGGCAGAACTCCATGCAGCATCCTCTTCCCACCAGGATGGCCACAGGTGTATGGGGGGTCCCCTTTTTTACAGTCATTAGAAACAATCTTTCACCTTTGCCAAAGCAAACAATGTTCCTCCAACACATTTATCTCTGAGCAGTTTATTCAGCTGGCAGATATGTTTATGTGGACACCGTACCTGGGAGATTCTCACTCCAAAGGCCATGGAAAGACTGGTGTGGCTTTCTCATGGTAAAACAATGACTTGGAGACAAATGCAGCCCCAAACTATAAGGGCAGTTTTTCACCTACATGCTGAGAAGGGAGTTTGGGCAGCTCAGAGCATGGCCTTTCTAGGAGGATCTTCTCTGAGCAATTCAAGGCCAGAGCGGCCTGTGTGCCCCGTGGCTTCCCGAGCCTCCTGCCATCTGCACTGCAGTGGGCCTGTCTTGTGCCCCAGGCACTGTCTTCTGGGTTGGGGTTTTAGTGTGAGTAGGTAGCCTGGTTCAGAGCGTCGGCAGAAGGCTCCACATGGCGAGACACTTCACACTGGCTCAGGTAGAACAGATGAGGCCACAAGACGCTGAGGTACAGTCCTCCGGCACTGCATGCTTCACTCCTGGTTTTCCCAGTAATGAACCTTGGGAGATGCAGGGGCCAGAGCCCAGGAGGAGGGAGGCTCGGGGGCCAGAAGCCAAGTCTCTAGACGCCCATGGTATCCTTGCAGACCCTACTAGACTGGACAGGGTGAGGAAACCATGACACCTCATTAGGGCAAAGGAGAAAGTTACTCAATTACATCTTTAGGGCTACAAGAAGTCAGCAGCTCCCTCTCCCTTCCCACTGTTCCTTATTTGGGGATCTTCTGAAGGGAAGGGGCAAGGCCCTGGGAGATAGCTCAGCAGAATAAGCACTTGCCTGGCAAGCGCAGAGTCCTGAGTTCAATCCCTGGTACTGCAAAAAATGAAGGCAAGGGGCCGAGGGAGAGGGACTACTTCTGCGCCCCTGTTTTCAGAAACAAACCCACTTAGACTCAAGTTTCCCTGAAAACTGAAACTAGAGAATGTGTGTGTTACGAAACAGAAGGTATCTGTATTACTGTCCCTGAACTGTATTACCTTTGCAAAAATGTTTTCCTGTATTTAGAAAGCTTCCTACCTTAGGCAGTCTCCAGTAGACCAGTGCCCAGAATGTCACATGCCTGTCTGTCCCACCGGCCCTGGTCTCTGGCTCTGTGGCTAAACTGCCTACCAAACTCGGCGAAGTCTTCAACCATCAAGCCAGTGCGCAGTCCAGGCAAGGGGCTCGCTCCGGTTCTAAGCTCTGCGCCCACCTTCTCCTGCTCTGAGCACTGCGGCACTGGGCGGCAGGGCTCTGACACTGGGGACTCGGACGCAGGCACTGCCGCACGCCTCTGCAGGGCTGTTATCAAAAGCACGTGAACCACAGAGAAGCATGTTTTTGAGCAATGTGTTTGGTAAACACTGGAGATACTCCTCTGGGTGGTTATTTTGAATCTCTATTTCTGTCACTTGAAACAGCAAAACATCAGGTGACTCATCAGCTGATCTAACCACACATGAAACAGGATGTAGAGAAAATCTGAAGAAAATTGTAAGAAAAGGCCCTCTGGCCTGCCCTTTCGGAGGTCTGAAATACCACAGAAATGTTCAACAGGAGAGAAATTATGCAATCAAAAAAACCCTCGTTCCACTCAGAAGTCAGAAAAGGTAGAAAATTATGTATTTACTTCTTAATCTCGAAAGGGGAAAATATCAAAGACATAAAGTGACCTTATTCTAAGTTTTTTTTCTCCCACAAGAAGGGAAGTTAAGGCTAGGTTTCACACGTCTGGGCTAAGAAATATCTAAGTCAAAAGAAAAATTCTCTGCTAAATCTGAATCACTGCAGGGGCATTATTACCAACAGCTTTGGAAATATTTCACTTTAGTGATAATTTTTTCTGCTTCACTGGCAATCAACTTGGGTCTCCGAAAGACTGCATAAGACATAAATGTTTCTAGGAGGCTACTGTCTACACTTCAGCAATGTTTCTGGTACAGTGTTTCAAGTTCGGTCACATAATTTCAAGTGCACTGTACAGACATTCGTTTCTATACTATGTACGTTTAAACAAAAGCACAGAAGGGCACAGAACCCTTCCTTCAGAGAAACAGAGAGCTTTCTTTAGGTTAAAGATAGGGACAGACCAGCTCAAAATGGCTGCACTGTTCTCTGTACCCTTTACGGTCACTCAGTGATGTGGACATGAGACATTATGGACAAGGTAAAGGCAGATGTTCCCAACCAGAAGCCGAGGTGCTCTGGAGGCAGGAGCATTAGGCCAGGGGGACTCCAGCCTCCGTGCGTGGAGCTCTGAGCGGCAGGGCCCTGGCTGGGAAGCAGCAGCTCCTCACACCAAGCAGGAGGGTACACATCGTCAGCAGTCACCAAGAGACGCGGCGCTGGCCACGTCACATGGGGCAGGCCCACTAGCCCAAGGCTGCCACATCCACAAGGCTTGTGGCGGCAAATCCCTGGCTGCTCAGATTCAGTGACATATTCTAGTTTGCCTAATGATGGCCAGACAGGGTAGCTCCCTACAACTGGCCTGACCAGAGGGGCCACAGGACCCCACCCAGTTCCGGCGACCCACACTACACACTGCAGGAGCACTTGCCTCCTCGCCTCGCGTCACCACAGCTTCTCTGCCCGCAGCAAAACAGGGCCACCACTGTCACGACTTCCGTTAGAGTGCAGCTGACAAGTCAGCACAGGATCTGACGGCAGAAAAATACACCTACCTCATCTTCACCTCAGCTCTGGGTACCAGCAGCACTCCAGAACTGCCCCCGTCTTTAGCCCAGTGAAGTCTCCCAGGAGCATTCCTGTGTGCCCCATGGCTGTCAGCTTATGGGCTTTCCAGTTTCACACCAAAACTGGGTTTAATTTTAAATTCTTGAA